TTTCCAGTAGCAAACATCTATGCCCAGCAGACATTATTAAAAGCTTTCAAAAGACCGTTGATCAAAATATAAGTAGAAGCAAATAATTGCCAGTCCTGTGATAGGAAAAGATCTTATCTATAAGACCTTGTGAATGTTTATGGTCCATCATGCTGCAGTAATTTGGAGGATAGTGAAGGAGGGACTATAGGCTCTGAAGCTTAACAACTCCATAACGGAGCATATCTTCCAGAAATCTAGCACACTACTTTTTCTACTAGAATCTGACACTTCAAGCTCTCATTATATTGCCGTGCATCAAAAAAATTCAATGCTGCAGATTTAATAATGGACAGATGAAGGTAATATGTGGGAGAACCTTGTTAAGGCTAATAGGAACACTACTTGCTGTTTTGGTACAGGAAGACAGGGCATAGGACAGGATTTTTCAGCTAGCTACAAGAAAATTTACAACAGAGACAGTCAACATCCTCCCCACTCCTTGGCAGTGACTTTGAATTTCATCACAGTGATTTGAAATTGAAAAAAATACTTTGAAAATATTTTTGTTGAGGATTTTGACAATACAATATCTGTAAAATATTGCACTCTGAGCAAGACATCATTGTCTTTTTCTGGATTTAGATACATGATTCATTTTCCATAAATTTTTCATTCAAAAAATGAGGTGATATATATCACCGAAATGGATTGGAGTCATGAGAAAAATGAAATTTCTCCCTAGCCTCAGGACTGGTATATTAAGATTTCTTCGTTTTCCTTTTTCCTCTACATCTTTTTCTTTCTAGCACTGAAGTTCACAAGAAAATAAGGATTTAAAGTATTTCCTAATAAGTGCTGATTTTTCAGGTAGCTGCTTATGTAACTTGATTTTCATCTCCTGTTTATTCTTTTCTCTTTTTACATCTTTACATGTACATATTGTGGAATGTTTTCTGTGATATCCCTGTCCTTTCTGATTTGCTATTCCTGAATGATGTTTCACCTTCAATGTTTGTTTCTTTCATCCTCTTCTTCTACCATAGTTGACAAGTGTTACCATAATTGAGTTTTAACTGAAACTGCCTAAAAGCACAAGATACTTCATAAAGTGCATGAAGAAACCCCCGTCCCAAATAATTTACAAACCTATGGCTGTGATCTCACATTGAAGCCTGAATAGTCAGACCATAAAGGAAATGGAGGCTACCATATGAGAAACAGCCTACTCCCACAGAACACCTTGAAAAGTAGATGTCCTAAAAGAACAAGTGGAACATGAAAGCTGACTGGAGGAAGGTACAGTCCAATGCATACAAACACTTTGTCCAAAGTGTTGGAAGAGTACAATTTCCCTACCTTGCAAAAAAAACCCAAACACCTTTTATCCTCCAGTATATCCCTCCTTCACTAGCAAAAGAAATTCTGTCCTTGTTTCCGTTGCTCCCCTGTGATGGCAAGTTTCTCATTCTTCTTTATGGTCAATACTTCTGGTAACACTTGCGGCACTATGGAAGGAAATTTGGAGAAAAGACCTCTACAGATCAGCCGAAGTTAAGGTGCCAGTTGTACTTTACTTACAGGGTATTATGAAAGCAGAGGAATACATCACTTTAAAGAGCCTGCAACTGTTAAATTTTATGACAGGAGGTTTTTCCTTGAATGACAGGTCCATTAGTCTTTACTCCTACAAGAGCCTTATTCATTCTTCAGAATGAGGGAGGACCTGAAGCACAGATCTCTTCCTCAGAACGTGATTGATAAGATAGGTCTACAATCCACAAAAATATACCACTGAAGTGAGTATAAAGGAAAGCAGCACTGCAATGTGGAAATCATATATTTCTATTAGAACTGTCCTTTCAGTCTAGAGCATTATTAAAACCAAGCAAAACACGAAAATCAAACAAACATGATAAGAAAAAAAACCCACAAACCAAAACCAAAACCCAAACCTAAAGTATGAAGACACTGCAATTAACAAGTCAGGATAAATTACCTTAGGAATTAACTATACTCAGAATACTGAGTTTGTATATGATTCCTTATTTGAAATGAAAATTATTTTTTAAAAAGACAACAGCTCCTGAAAGCATTTCAAGAAGTTGCCTCTCTTTTCTGAGGTAGACAGTGTGCAAATCGTTTTCATTAGATGGACAGTACAAGGTGGAGAATGAGGCTAGTACTTTTCAGGAGGATCTTATATTTGCATTTTTACTGCTAAATAACCAAATTGTTTCGTGTTTTCAAATCACTCAGGGAGAACAGAATAGGAATCAAAGAAAATCAGCCCTTTAGGGTAGAGTTAATTTAAAAATAAAAGTAAATCACCAAATCTTTTTCCCCTTCCATTGGATTTCTAATAACACTATGTGAAGATGACTATTGGATTATTGGAGCAATGAACCTTAAAAAAAAAATGATACTCACCTTGGAAAAATGACTCATAGCTAAGATCATACATATATTTTTCAACCTTCTGCTTTTCAGTGCTCTGACACAGAGCTCAAGAAGACAGGGAGCCTAAGAGAGCTGTAGGTCTTTTCTTCCTGTCAATTCCAAATGGCATGTGTGACTTCTTTTTCCACCCAGAAATTTTTTCCAGTCACAAAAGAAAATTTGGACATTCTTTCAGGATTCCTAGACATAAGCTAATGCAGTAAGATCATCAGCAGAACTTGGCCTACCTGATAACTGGAAGTCATAGAATCATAGAATCATAGAATGGTTTGGGTTGGAAGGGCCCTCAAAGATCATCTAGTTCCACCCCCCCTGCCATGGGCAGGGACACCCTCCACTACACCAGGTTGCCCAAAGCCTCATCCAACCTGGCCTTGAACACTTCCAGTGATGGGGCATCCACAACTTCTCTGGGCAACCTGTTCCACTGCCTCACCACCCTCAGAGTAAAAAATTTCTTTCTTATATCTAACCTAAATCTGCCCTCTTTCAGTTTAAATCCATAGTCACCAATTACACGAATAAGCACTCTGCATATACAGGTCAACTGCACATTTCTATCTATTTCTAGAGTTAAAATGACATAAGGCTTTTCTCTGGACAATAACTATGACCCAAGATCTGTGGTTCATACCATCTCAACAATGAAACTAGCATTTGCCAAAATTCCATTCTAACAGTAATAGGTCTCTCCCTATTGCACACCAAAGTACATAACTTATTAAATTTACAGAATAAATTTCCAGTGATACCTATTAAACCTTTATGATACAGATATATTTTTTCTATTGTGAAAGTTCAGTGTTCTAAAATGATTAGTGACAGCATCGTTTTACTTTCACTTGATTTTTTTCCTTCAAAATATCTTAAAATTCATTACTACAATAAATATCTCTTGAAAACTGCTCTACAAAACTCAACCACAAAAAGACATACAGACATGAGTGCCTTTTTGCACTCTGAAAATTATTTACGTTAAAGGAGAAGGAGATAGTCACAAGTTTGCATGCTTTCAGACAGACTACAAGTATCCATATGTGGAACTGCTCCAAAAGAGCTATCACATTTGAAATTGACACCTAGACTTCAACATACACATGCCTATGGATTTTCCTGGGTGCTTGAAGTCATAGCTCCAAAAACACAGGACATTATGTGCAGTGTTGTTCTCCCACTAGGCTCATAAAAATGTCTTAATTTAGGCTCACAATGCCATGACAGACTATGTACCTGAACTGCACAAACAGAAGATCCTCACTACTGTTTCTTTGAGCTAAACTTGTGAAGAGGGCAAATATCAACAGTGCAATACCACGGATTTTGCTCCAGTAAGAATCTAGGGCTTGGACCACAAGAAATAAGCTTCTTTAACTCATTCTGCTACTAAGGGCTTTCACAGTGCAGTGCACTGCTCTTGCTTCACTGACCCTGGCGAGGCAGATGTATTGCACCACTAGAACAGTCACAATACCATATTTATACTCCTGAAACATTAACTTCAAGCTTTGCTGCAAACTCCAGGCTACAAATACTGCTACATAAAAAGGTCTGAACTTTACTTGGAAGATCTCAGGTGAGAAAGGGAGAGGAAAAGAATTAGATAAAGCCTCTTATTGTTCACAAATTCAGTGTACCATTGAAATACAACAGTTCTGCACTTCTTGTCATCTGTACCGTCTTTTGTATGCCAGAAACATCCTCCTTGTGCCTCTGTGCATACCCTTCTGTGCATCATTGTTTGCTGAAGAGACTCTCTCAAATTCTATGCAATTAGGTTAAGGAAATCTACTAGGACAACTGAGGCTGCTAGGAACCAAAACCTGTCAAAGCATCAAAGCATCGAAGACACATCTACACACGAAATCTCATTTGATACTGCTCTGCAGAGACGCAAAGGCTAGTTTAAAATTAGGTTTCCTGGATAATGGCACTAATTTAGTCACATGAACTTGGAGCTCAGCAAGGGCCAGATTATAGTTCTGTGAAGAGTAACTTTATAGAGTATTTTTAATCTCGATTTGGTAAATTTTAGGTATGTCAACTGCACTGTGTAGTCACTTATTTGACTACGGGGAATGTACAACTTAAGTAAATTGGAATTATTGTTGGAATTAACAATTGCAAAAGACATTCAAAATTTATTGGGAAAATACTAACTCTGTTCTTGGAGTGGCATCTTTAAGAGTTGACTTTAAATGCTGCCACTGCATCACCAGAAAAAAAAATGGAGAAGACTAAGTTTTATGTACATTGGTATCCACTATATTGGTGGGTAGTCTCTTAAGTTGTCCTTATATCACTGCAAAAGAGCATTCCACATTTTCCCTAAATTTAAATAAGATCTATATGGCAAACAATTTCAAAATGAAAGTAGTTTATGTAAACATTCAACAGTACAATGTTTGAATGAACACAAAGGTTCCTTACAAGAATTTGATGCTTTTCAAGAGAAACACGTTTTCATACTGTAACTTGCATTTAGACAGAAGCACGGAAATAGTTCTGTTAGCTGAAAATTCATGTCATTTATTTATTTTGTTTAAACTGAAATCTTCTCTTACCATCATGATTGGGATTTCCCAAAGTCCACGGCTCATCTGAGTCAAAATGAGTATCTCCCCCAATTCCTGGCCCAGGGAAATATGCATGAGCTAAAAATCCTCCCTCCCCATCAAAGGGAGAACTGTCTCCATGAAAACCTGATGCAAAAATGATTGTAATATCTACGTCTCTCTTGCCATTTTCTAATTCAATATAAGGAACTTCTTCAAATGTTAGAGGAGTTACATTCTGCCACACATCGAAGGCACGGCGAATGGCTTTACGAGTTTCAGCATCACCTACTTTTGGAGTGACGTTCTTTATGCTGAAAGAAACAGAGAAACATTAAATAGATTAAATTTGACAGAGCAGTAAGTGACACTACTTACATTCGTTTTCCCCTAATTATTAAAAGCACTGTGTTTTTAATAAAATGTGGCATCCTTTAAGAAGAGTTTTTAAACAAGCTGGTGCAAAATTATTGTGTCCATCTGTGTAGCCCTTTATCCTACAACTTATATGTTGGCTAGGTTACTCTCAGCAGTACAAAAATCTTATTTTTAGAAGATTAAAAATGTTGTAAAATGAAAAATTCTTAACAGTGGGATAACCAGATTAATCAACCACTGACTGTTTACCTCCTGAACCACAATTAGAACTTATCACAGCTAAAGAACAGCATGTCATTTCTGATCAAAAGAAAAATGTTTCCAGTTAAATTAAATGTTAACTTCTTAGTGAGTCCATTAACAACAGCAGAACTCCATACTGTGACCACCAACCAGTATTCACAAAGCCTTAAAAACAGTTTTTGTTGCATTTGTAACTGGATAGATAATTCCTTTTCAGAAACAAAGCCTTTTTATTTTAATACAGGCTAAGATGTCCTTTCATGATCTGATTACTTCTATAAATCTTGCATAAAACTGTAGAATTCTTCCGAGAAATCATTTTATAGAAGACAATTATGTGTCAATTCAGAAATATATATTTAAACAGAAATTTCAGTCTCCACTACTTCTTCAAATGGCACATAATAGAAAAGCAAAAAAAAAGAATTACTGTTGAGGTCAGAGTCACAGTTACTTGTAAATTATAGTGGAATCACCTTCAAAAAAACCTTCTTGATTTATTTGTATTATTGAATTCAATGAAAGAATGGCAATAATCAATTTCAGATCTAATTTCCTCCATCATTTTTACTCAATTCATACAGCCAGCAAAAACTCTGTTAGGTTTGTGTCTGTTCTTAAACTGCTGCAATCAGATGCTCTTTGTTCATCTGACATATGCTTGACTGAATGTCCAGCACAAATTTCAGAAATTACATAGTTCTGAAGTATATGTAAGATTTATGCAAGTTTACACAGCACGGCGTGTTAATGGAGAACAAAAATATTTTCATAAATAAACCTGGAATGATTGATTGGTTTGGTGCATTAAATGTGCTTGATTATATGGTATTGTAAGTTTATATAAATGGAAATAAATCCTTCAAGTCTAATTTTATAGATTTGACTTGCCATACATTATATTTTGTTCATAGGTTCATGTACAAAACATAAAGTTATCTATTTTGACTTCCACTCATAAATATTCTTGTATTGAGTCCAATAATGTTAGTCTAACAAAAGCGTTATTTCTTTTTAGTTAGTATGTATGTTCCAAAGAGACACCAAGACAGATTAGAAGACAGTATACTGTAGAGAATCCATTGCTTCCCTTAATCTTTTGTTCCAAAGATGATTTAACCAGTCATTACATACTTGTGCCTATTCTCTAGTCTGGCTTGTAACATCAGTTCTTGTTGTCTTTCTCTGTCACATACATGAGCTATAAGAACGTTTTTTCTCCCTAAAAAAAAGACATTTAAAAGACATTTCTGCACTGCAAAGTCATCTCCTTTTTGTTGTCTCTTTGAAATTAAAAGTTTGAACACTTTAAACCTCTTACAAGACATTTTCTCCAGTCTATTAAATATTTTCTGTGACTTTTATTGAACTTACTAGAATTGTGCAACGTTCTTTTAAAACTTCTTCAGTTTTAAAAGAACTACTACTGCTGTGCTGATCTCACTGCCAGAGAGAAAAAGTCCTTTGATCTGTAGACACAGCCTTACCCTATATGATGTAAATGTCACGTGATTGAAATCGCTTCGTATGATGCTCTTTATTCATAGTTATTTACTCATCAGTAATTTTATGATAAGTGTTGTGTTGATTTTCAGGTGATTTAAAAAATATTGGATGCACTGGACCAACTATCAGTCTCTGCAGAACCTCTCTCTGAAAGCTCCCTCCTTTGTGAATTACTTTTTTGAGATCTTTTATTTGGCAAGTTCATAAACTACTCATCCTGTGCCCCTTGAGAATTAACAGTATTTTAGAACCAGAGTGTCATGTGGCACTAAATCAAAACACCTCACAAAGGCTCACAACAGTTACACTGCCACTACCAAAAACTTGACAACAGTTAACCTGTTGCTATGCTATGAATACCACTTACAAAGCTGATGAATTTTCTCTCAGTCAATCCTGCAGTGTGCTCTCTAAAGCACATAAATTGTCTCAAGCACAGCTCATGGAAGGAATAGAGCCTTTGTTATTTGCTACATATAATGAATACAGCAAATGAATCAACAGGCTTTCATAGAAAATAGAAAATGTCTAGTAAAACTGATATTTTGATGTAGGAAAAGTTCATGTGAACGATACAATTTATTATTTTTTTATTATTTTGTATTTAGGAATCTTAGTAATAGGTCAAAGTCACACTTTGTGGTTATGTAAACAGAGCAAAAGAATGGTCTCATGCTGTTATATGTGACATGAGGAAATGGATAAAAACAGATTTGAATTTTGTATTGGTGGAAAATTAATTAATTACTTGGCCTGAAAGGGTTTGACTCACTTTTTAAACCTTACCGCTTTTTTATATATATATATATTTTTTTTCTTTTACAGTGCACAGAATTAAGTTTTAGTCATTGATTACAAATGAAAAATTGAGCCATTGTGCTAGTTTCACACATATTAACTAGGGGTGATTACCTATGATGGGAGACCTTTTCCAGGGGATTCAGCTATTGAATTACTTTAAAACTAGCATTCTACATCTCAAGATTGATTTTCAAGAAGAAAGACTTTTCAAAGCAAACATTCTGTATTGAAACAAGACAGATTTCTGGCTTCCAAAACAACCTTACGGAGAGGGTGAGATTGCACTGAAAAATGTAGCTTCTAAAAGAAAGGAAATAAAGCAATAGTTATTCCAATATAAGAGTATTTCCAGAAAATGTTTGTCCATTTTAATGTGTTTAACACAAGCCATGCTCAATCTTAAAAGGGCAAATTCTAATACTATGTGTAACACAAATGTTGAAGTTGTCTAGCTGGGAACTTTGCTTAGAATAATTCGCTAATATAGACATATGAAATCCAAGTTATTTTACATTTCTTTCATGGTGTCGATCATATAATCTCCAAAGGGGAAGTATAGTAAGATCAATCCATACAGACAATGTATCCACTACCAGAGATTTTAGGACTCATCTCTCAAAAGTCTTTGATTTAGATGTATCACTGCAATAGCAAATAAAGTTTTATATGAACCTTTTTCCTATTACATTTGGCTCTACATCATAATGCCAGCAGTCACATGAACTACTGGCAACTGATAACACTGATAAAAAAAAAAGGAGGAACTAAGTATCTTACACTCAACATATCTAAATAACAGAGCTAAAATAAAAAAAAAAGTGGAGGACATGCCAACTCAGAACCACTACTATTGCAAGGTGACAGCATAGCAAGACAAAGGTCATCACAGTAAGAAAATAAAGTTTCCTAAACCTTACATTCCTAACCTCCAATTCTAGTGATCATTTCACAGAAAAGATGTTCAGTAGAGAGAAAGATTCAATGCTCACCTTGAACAGATTGGCTGTGCAACTTTTATAGAAAGGCTGAAGAACATACTCATAATTCCTTCCAAAGGGAAAGTATTTTAGAAAGCAAAAAATTATATATAAGATGAAATATTTACTTCAATGTCATTTTTTACAGACTAGTAAACTGAGGGATCATAGAATCACAGAATTATAGAATAGTTTGAGTTGGAAGGGACCTTTAAAAGTCATCTGGTCCAACTCCCCTTACAATGCGCAGGGGCATCCTCACCTAGATGAAGTTGCTCAGAGTCCGGTTCAACCTGACCTTGATGTTTTATACAAATTTTGAAAGCTGCTATTTTTAGACAACCACAACCATATATCCATTGAATTCAGTATTTTGTAGTTACTACTGCAGGTTGATGCAAACATGGTTTTCAGCCTGCTAGTTGCTTTGGGCATTACAGCTTTTAAATCCATGTCTTGCAGAAGAAGAATAAGATGTCATCAATGATACACACTTTCCACACTGATTTACTATTTCTACAGGTACCTGGAAAGTCTTGGTTTGGAGGCTGTTATTCTGAAATTCTGAGTGCTATTGAGAAAAGCTTTGTGTTTTCCTTCAACTCCCTCTCTTTCCCCAAAATATCCTCAAAAAAAATTATCCATGTTTCAGTGACACATTTTTGGCTGCAATCGCTTCAGGAGCCTTGCAGGGCTGTCAGGGTAATACCTCACTTGGCTGTGTAAAATCAGTCCTCTGAAATTTAAATACAGTACATTAAGTAGCATGTATTTAACATTAAATTTCACTATTTCCTTTTTTTCTTCCTGAGCTGTCATTAGAACAGCCCATTATATTTTTCATGTAAATTCCTACAATTCTGTATATAAAACCAACCCTTCCGATCCAAGCTAGACCCAAGAGGCAATTCAGCAAAGGCTAGACAAAGCTCAAAATGCATAAAGCTTATTATTACTGCTTACCTTAGCAGTAATGCCCTCCACAAGAGTTGTAATAACTCAGTGACAGACTTCTTCATGGCCTGTAGACTTCGATACTTCTATTCTCCATTGCATATAATAAATACTGTTTTTAAATTGGTTCTACGCTCATTTGTGCATTAAATCCAGAGTACAAGATTAACAACATCTTACTACCCTGTTGTGCTTATTAGACTGGATACTAACGAGTGCTTTTAGAATTATTAGGTAATTATAAGGATGCAAGATGATTTTTTTTTTTGAGAACATAAATATATCAACCAAATATAAATGAGGAAAATATTTCTACAATGCCACTTGTCTAAAACATTCCAAGATTTTCTTGTAGCAAAGTCACATATTGGAAACCCCATTCTAAAGAAAGAAAGGACACAGAAGACAAAAGAGCAGAAAATTCAACAGAGTAGGTTAAAAGATGCAGTCAGTAATCTGTTTGAAGTAGGCCAATTATAGATCCGTATTTGATATGAAACAGTTAAGATAAAATGAATTGAAATATAGCTTAAATTGAATAACTGGTTGAAAATACTCTCTTATTGCCATTATTGTCAATCAAACCTAAACTGAACCAAAGCTTTTTTTTTTTTTTTTAATCCCACTGTTACTTTTATTGAAATTAACAGATTACCTCTGGTCAAAGGTATATTACATTTTTACGCCATCATTTCTCTAAAGATACTTTCTATCGAGTTGCTTCATTAATCTCTCACTGATGTGGGCTTTCTTTGCTTCAACTTCTTTCCAGTCTCACTTTGTTAACTCTTTGCAGCTATAGCCTAAGAACGTTTCTCACATAAAATGTGATCTTGGTTCACATAGCTCCTGCTCCAGTTGATTAAACTCAAGACAAAGATATTGCTTTTGATTTTCTTGTTCTGTGACCACATTAAAAGTCAACCTGCTGCTGCCATGTTGGAAAGATTCTATAATTCTCTTGCCTTTTTGGTTTCATGGATAATATTCTCCCCATAATTCATTAAAAGAATCTGAAAAGTGACAAAGATGAGATTTCCAAGATACAAAACCAAGATTAGCAAAATACTTGACAAACGTTTTTATAGGAAAGATATCCCATGTCATAATTTACTACTAATTAATTTAAAATGAATAAAAGGCAAAAAAACATTTACAATTATAGCATATTGATATCAAAATATTTAATTATTTCAGGATTGATGAAGTAGGTAAGTATTAAAGAAATGAGAAATGATATTCTACAATATTCAGATTTTATATGGAAATGATTGGCACTAAAAATATACATAGTGAAGAGCATTATTTTGTTGATTACACTGTGGAAAAGCATAACTAAACGGCTTAATTGATTGTTACTTAGGAATCCTCTCTCACAACTACAGTTATCTAGACTTTTTTCACTGCATAAATTTTAGAATCATCAAGGTGTAGTTTAATCTCCTCTTATTAGGTATATTTTACACGACTTCCCCCTTTCCATTCAGAGGTTAAAAATGCTAAGGTAGGTAACACTGCTAATACAGTTAACGGTGAGCATTACCTTTATTAAATTGGTTTTGGCGAATGCATTGAGCTTTAACAAAGGGGTAAATATGTTTAAATCAACATTTAGGAACTGAAGTATTCCATTTTATTCAAATTCCTATTGCCTATAATGGCACTAGCAGATATCAGGTAGGTAGATACTGAAAACTTTCCTGTATATCATCAGGTTGACCATAATTGCATTTTTTATGGTAATCTGATGGAAAGCTGGTAGGACATGCAGTTGTAATGACAAAAGAATGTTTAATAGAGCCTTAATTAGCATCTAATTCTCCATCTATGCTTACTACAGAAAGATAATGCTTTGTCAGGAATCATCTCATCCCTGCCCCATTAGTCCCTAAGGATTGAAGCTCTATGGTAGGTAGTCTAAGAGTTTATGAGAACTTTGGTAAAGAAAACAAGTAGTCTCTCTAGTACAAATTACTATTTTTCTAGATGTGCAGCTGTAAATCATCAGAGTTCCAGCAAAACATGCAAGTAGAAACTCTAAGAACTCATTGATGGGTCATTTTGAAAACATCTATTTTCAGAGAACCCTGAGAACTTCTTCACCATGCCGCTCAAAATGCTTTCCACATCTGGAGGTATCACTTTTCAATATAAATCTGCATGTATTTTCTATACTACTGTGTGCTCAGTGATACAGAAAAGATAAGAACTTCAAAAATTGTTACTGGCTCAAATTGGTAGGGTAGGATTTTAGAGCATGTAGTTAGACATTTCCACTGCCTTCAGGTCTTGTAGGCCTCATATGTACATAGCGAAAAAAAATATATTAAAATGCAGCCCAATTCTGTAAATGTTTCTGGAATGTTTCAAAATATATTAATCAGGTACAACTCAATTAAAGCATAGAATATTGCTAGTGTATTGAAGACTAGTTTCCAGACATTTCAGTTAGTCATAAATTTGTTAAAGTTGGAATGTTCTTGGTTTGCTGACAAATTATGGATTTTACATTACATACATGACACTTCCTTTGGTTGGCAGAGCTCTAGCAGGTACACAGTTTGCATCTAACTTTCCCTGCAAAGATCAGTTTCGACAGTAGGCAACATACTGTGTAAACTACACACCAGACTCAAGAGTTATATGGATGTACACCTCCGTGCATACTCCTACGCCCATCATCATGTAGGCAGAAGATGGTTGGGTCAGTGACTCACCAAATTATAACCAAATTCATTTGTACTTGGGACAGAGCTGTAGGCACCTCCATGTTGCAGAGAATGACTCCTTTCAATAACCTATTTTACATACTTAAATTAGAGATCTGAGTTCCATTACAGCGGTCCTAGCTTCAGAACAGTGTTGCCTGGGAAGTTGCCAAGAGGGTTGAAAGGTAAGGTTAAGGACATATTTGGTGTTAAATCAATGCTGAAAGCTTCCGAGACTTTACCAATTACTAAATGTATGCAATTTTAATCCAAGAAAATAATTTGGCTCTTACGTAGCACATACATACTTATCCAAGAGGTATCTAAATCAGCATTTTTATATCAGATATTAATAATAAACTCCTCAAAATATTAAAAAATATTTCAGAAATTTATAGTGAAATTTATATATCTATATGAATATCTTTGGTACCTGTAAGTGATATGTTTATGTTGCCATTTCTGTCCTGTTAACGCGTAGCGTTTCCGACGAATGTTAAATTTGGAGCTACCTCTTGTTTGGTCAGGCACACCACATCGAGGCTTCTTCATCCAGCTGCAAGACAGCACCATACAGTTAGAGTAACATGAAAGAAAATTCATAGCCATTGCACCTAACTAATAAAAACATCAAACTTTTTTAAAATTAGAGTATTATCAATTTTGTATCTACATGCAACAATGGCTACCAAAAGGAACAGTTAACTTGTTACCAGTTATATAATTTGTGGACTTTCATTGCCTCCCATGACATTCAGAAACAAATTAATTTGCTGTTATTTTTTTCTAGTTTTCTTCTGCTACAACCTCTGAATAAAGACTTCACAACTGGACAATCTTTCACAATCAATAATTTATTCTGATTCATTCAAGGTAATTATGATCTGTATTACTAGCTTGCTTGCTGAAGGTGAAGACAAAGTATATACACAAATCTTTTGTCAAATCACTGGTTCTTAATTTTTTTTTTCTGTGATCCTTTTCTTTTCTCTAATTGTCATGATATTGAAATAAGCCTTAAGTTCTTTTAATCAATCAGCCCAGTCAACTGCTAGAATTTTTTTTATAATTCAAGATACTGAAACTGCTAACTTTATGATAATTAACTTCTTCTATTTTACTCTCTTTCCACACAATGAAGAGTATCTCTTTGCAACTGTAAGCTCCTAGTGGAAATATTTAACTCCAGAATTCTGCCTAAGAATATTTAATGCTCCGCACAAAACCAAACTAAAAAGGTCTAAATTTCAAACAACACAAATGATCCTTGTAGCAGCATCAGAATTTCCACAGAAGTGCGCGATTTTTACAGTGGCCTTCAATATTTGAACGTTTTCCAATATTTCAAAAACTTCAAATGTGTCAGCATTCAAAATGCAACAAAATTAGAACGACGTCTAAATTAAAAGCATGAGTTCAACAACAGTACCAGGTCAGCAGGTCGAGGGAGGTGATTCTGCCCCTCTACTCTGCTCTCGTGAGACCCCACCTGGAGTACTGTGTTCAGCTCTGGGGCCCCCAACATAAGGAAGGACATGGAGCTGCTGGAGCGGGTCCAGAGGAGGTCCGCAACGATGATCGAAGGGCTGGAGCACCTCTCCTACGAAGACAGGCTGAGAGAGTTGGAGTCGTTCAGCCTGGAGAAGAGAAGGCTTAGGGACACCTTCCAGCAGCCTTCCAGTACTTAAAGGGGGCCTACAAGAAAGCTAGAGAGGGGCTTTTTGCAAGGGCATGTAGTGATATGACAAGGGGCAATAGATTTAAACTGAAAAAAGGTAGATTTCGATTAGATCTAAAGAAGAAATTCTTTACTCTGAGGGTGGTGAGGCACAGGAACAGGTTGCCTAGAGGAGTTGTGGCTGCCCCATCCCTGGAGGTGTTCAAGGCCAGGTTGGACGAGGCTTTGAGCAATATGATCTAGTGGAAAGTGTCCCTGCCTGTGGCAGAGGGGTTGGATGCAGATGATCTTTAAGGTCCCTTCCAACCCAAGCCATTCTATGATTCTGTGATTTTATGATCATTGAACTATTTCTCACTTGTAGTATAAGGGGTTGTTTAGTTTGAGTAAAAGTGAACGAAACTCAGATGAAGTTATTTTATATGAGCTGAATAGCTGCAGAACAATTTACCATCAGGAAGATAGTAAGATTAAAGACATTCACTGCATAAGGAAAAGACAAATCTCTTCTGTTACTTTTCCAGTTCATTTGACTTTATTTCTACCATGTCAAATAATTACTTATGTAAAAGCTATAGTTTTCCAATGGTATTTACCACAAGAGTAGTCATACCCTATATTCAGGCTTGCATGAATGAATTTCTGACCATTAAACTGGCATTTGAACATTGTTTCATAAATAAATATACACACAGCAGCTGTATGTATGTATGACTAGTTGACAGAAAAGTAATTTGAAATGTCATCTCAGATAGTAGACTCCTTTTAAAACATGTGTAGGTAATGAAAGATAAAAAAAAACAACCAGCCAACCACCTTTCATCTTTTCCAGTAGATATTCTGAGTTCAATATATGCAAAATAAAGAAAACCATCTTCTTTTATACAAAAGAAAACATGCAATATTTGCTGTACAATGGATTAGTGTGTGTGTATACAAAAATACACAATGTAATGAAATCATTCATTTTTTCAGTTCTGTACTCAAGAAATGAGATGTGCATTGTAAGTTTTACACCTATTAATACAAGACAAACAATATTGCATATCGAATGAATTTTTAGAGGCTAAATCCAGTCAAAATCAGCCATGCTCATATTCATAAATCCGTGTGAAGAGGTTTAAAAGTACACTCAGGTGTATAACACTTCATATATGCTGTAGCTATGGATATATAGCAAACTATTGTTCAAGTGAGTAAATAGGAGTTAAGCTCACCAGCCTGTGGCAAAATACAAAATTTTAGTGATAGTACCAAGATGGCATGGCACCCCACTTTCACTCATAAAGACCATTGAAGTCCCTGCAAAAGCTTTGATGCATGACACATCTGTCAAGTAGTACAAGTTGGGAAGCCAAAACTTATGAATTTGACTGCCCAAACGGAAGACACTGAGTTCACAGTTACCTGTTTCAAATAGGAAACAATGATTTGCTCTAATTTCTTGTCAGAATAATTACAAAGTATGCATGGCACATAAAACAGTTGACCGTTACTTGTATTTGCAAGGAAGAAAATCTT